CCCTGGCGGAAACCACTGGCGCTTCTCTCCACTAGGTTAACCGAGATGCTTTTGTTGCCACCCAGATTGTAGAGGCTCCGGGAGCCAAAGCCCCTCGCATGGCTCCCATAACCACCACCGCATCTCCCTCGGACCTGACACACAGAGCTCACGGCCCCCCTGCCACCACCAGAGCCTGCAGGAGAGCCCAGGCTGTAAACCCTCTTGCTCCTTGAGCTGAACGCCGACTGAGAGCTAAACTGGCGGCTCATGGTTGCTGGAGCATCCAGGCAAGCAGACAAGAGCAAGGGCCCAGCTGGAAGGAGGCAGAGACCAGGGCGGGAAGGAGCGTGTGACTCCCTTGCAAGAGCCCTGGCTCCGGCTCTATATATACACACACAGGCATGGCCTGGGCGGGGCACTTCCCGAATCCTGGGAGGAGTGTATTTGTGTTTAGTTTGCCTGCCAGCACCATCTGTCTCAAACCTCATACCTATGAGTTGCAGAAATTGCACTGTAGGCAAACTTCCCCAACTTGATCATTTATCATTCATCTCTTGCCATTTAGAGATCAGAGTGCTGTAATCTCTCAGATCAAGTCGCTGGAAACTCCTCTACAAGTTTCCCCAAAATTATTGGTTGATATCTTCCTAAGAAGCTCCACCACTGAGTTGTTTGTTTGGGGGGGGGGGCGGTGCCCTGGAGATCCGGGGCAAAGCTGGGGGTTGTCTAGCTGCCTAGGGACCACAGCTGGAACAAGGGCGGAGTTATGATGGGACAAAAATTTTGTCCCCACCCCTTGCTTCTGCTCCCCCGTTGTTGTTATCACCATGTACACCCCAAATTTTAATCACATGAGAACATGGTATTGTGGTCACTGAGTGTAAGCAAAAGCCAGGGGAGCCTGTCCAAGACTGCCCACCTTTTGCTGGATGCATTGGTGCTTCTCTCCACACCTCAGGCTCCTCAAATACAAACAGATGAGGTCCAGTAGCACCAAGGGTCTGTGATTGTATATTCATTGAGCATCTACCAGGACCTAATATTGTCTTCTAAACCAAAAGACAAACCATCCCAAAATCCCTCTATTTTTCTTTACGTTCCCAACCTATTATAAACCAATGCTTTTATAAAACAGAATAAAAATAAATTATCTTTAAAAGGAGATTTTTTTTTTTCAAGGTATACAAAATACAAGGCCCAATTTTTTATTTTAGCTTCAACAGACATAAAGTTATTCTATTGCGAAAAGGCAAAAATATTCATTAAGTTCCTAAGTACTTATTCTCAAATTCTGTATTTATCCCTCCCAAGCCAGTAGCAAAGTTCCCTGGACCAGCGCTGGTGTGAGGGCCCACATTTTGGGAAGTACTGACCCAGACAGCAAGCAGAGGTGAAGTTCGTTCAAGCAGCATCAGTGTCAGCCAACAAAAATGTGTGCTTGCCCTTCAGACTCAAATAGATGGTAGCTATCATCCGAAGCTTGATGATGACGATGATGATAACTTAGGGGGGGAAACCCTAAGTTATCTGTCCACACTCAGAAAAATGATGGCTTGCTCACTTGGATACAATTATTTTAAATTATCATCATGGAACTTGGGGTGAACATATAAAATGATATATAGATGATGTATTATAAATTGTACACCTGAAACTTATATAATTTTATTAATCAATGTCACCCCAATAAATTCAATAAAAAAGAAAAAGTATATTGAAAAATAAATACATAAATAAAATAAAATTATCATCATGGAAACCATGTAGCAGCATTGGAAATGTGTGTGATACAATGTTAAATAAAGCCAAATATACAAGTAACTCATCAAAACTAAGAATGCAGAGAAGCCAGGCTTAAAAAGTAACATAGAACATGAATTAATTTATTCAAGATTATGGGGGGGGGGTTCCTAATATTTTAAATGTCCTTTGCCTTCATATTTGAGTAATAAGTAAATATTTTTGTAAACATTGGGGCTGAAATCACAGCTGCCAACAGCTATAGAGGTGGGGAAAGGTGGGTGGCGGGAAAACAAGAGAGGTATTGGGGAACAGCAGAGAGGAGAAGGCATCCTAGGGCTGGGAGGGGCTCTGTGGGCAACCTCAAACCTCCACGCCTTCATATCTGCTTAGTAACTTAGTGGACCGTCTCCAGAAGAATGAGCCTGAAATTTACTGTCACAAGAGCTGGTTTCAGCTCCCAACCCTACTTCTACCCACCTGTGATCTCAGACAGGTCGCCTACTCTAGAGCCTCAGAGAGTTAAAGGAATCAGAGTATTTCTCAAGGCACCAATGCTTTAAAGCATATGAAAAGCACAGAACACTGTAATACACTAGCCAAGCATAGATACAGCTATTTCAGATCCTGGTAGGATGATCCACTGCCCCACTTTGCCTGAACTTTCGGTGCTTAGACCAGGACAGTCCAGGCAAGTCAAAACTGTTGCTACCCCAGTCCTGGCACCTCAGGTCTACGTAGCCCTAGTCTTAACCCTAACCCCGCAGGGAGCTTCTAGGAGGAGAGGGAAGCTCCCATGTACAGGAGTCACTAAGGAGAAAACCTGTAGAGTGAGAGGAAGGAAAGGGAAGTGTAGCTGGGAATTGGGATGGGTCCATGTGAAAGAGTTGCCTGAAGCCAAGGATTCCGAGTCAGGCAGAGTCAGGGAAGAGACAGAGAGAAAACGGAGGGTGGTGAAAGATCCTTGGGTAAAGCTTTAAAAATCTGCCTTGAATCCTGGCTCTGCCTCTTCCCGACCCATTGGCTTAGACAGGTGCTCGATTCCTTGAGCCTCAGTTTCCTGGCCTGTAAAATAAGGACAATAATACCAGCTTCACATGGTGACTATAATGAACAGCTGAGATCAAATAGGGATGAGAGTGTTGGAAACTCCAAAGTCAGACAAGTGAGGCCCCTTCCCCTCCGCCGCCGGCAGCCCCCACTGAAGACTATCATGTGAGCCCACCTCCCTCCCAGCTACTGCGACACTTTTTCGCATCATTCACTTTCAACCCCTGTCAGGCAGAATTCAGATCATCAACCCCTACACTTATCTCCACGGCCAACTAAATAAACAGGCAGCTCGCCCAGCTTATATTTACCCTCATGCTAAATGAGGGGAATTATTCAATTGTGATCAAATAAAAGAGGAAGCCCCAGGCAGCTGAATTTAGAAAATTCTTTGGTCTCTGGCTGTGATCAGCTGCCACCATCCACTGCCAACACTCAGTCTGTCTCCTGTCATCTGGGTGGCCCCTAGGGGGCTGTTGTCACTCCCTTAAGGGCTGGGGGGTGCCTAGCAAATACTACTAACTGAGTCTTTGGTGTAGGGTGATAACTATTCTCTATTCCCTTATAACAAGAGGAATTGGCTTAAAGTGAAGCATAAGAGATTTTATTTTTCCCCAAAAAAGATACTTAACCCCAGGTCAATATTAGATGGTGGATGAAGTTTCTAGGACAAATTGATCCTAAAGGAAACCCTTCAACTGGCTGGGCAGCTTAGAGCAGTAATTTCTAGACTTGCCACACGTTGGAATCACCTGGAAAGCTTCAAAACCAGGGGTGCGCGGCCCACCCCCCAGAGACCGGGTTTCACTGGTCTGGGGTGTAGTCTGAGCTTCGGGATTTTTGAAAGGTCCCAGGTGGTTTTAATGGGCAGACAAATTTGGACACCACTGGCCTGGACGAAACAGAAGGATGAATGAAATGGCCTCTTGAGATTCCATTCAGCCTGAGGGCAAAAGACTAATAATGATCATCATAATACTAACCCCTCCTCAAGTGCTCTCCGTGGGCCAGGCACTGTGCTAGGCCCACGTGGCCAGGCTCATTAAATTGAAAACCCAGCATGATTAGGAGGGTATTCTTATTATTACCCTCATCTTACAGAGGGCAGCAAAGAGGCTTGGAAAAATAAAGTAACTTGTTCAAGAACACACAGATGAAAGTGGGGGAATGGAGATTTGAACCCAGATACCCCTACTCCAGAACCCACATGTATCGCAGAAGAGGTGGGGAGTCTTTGGAGAGAGAAGTGCTCCTTTTCTCCTCTCCACATCTCTCCCCACTTAGTCTCCTTAAAAGGAAAGGGGGAAGTCAGTTGAGGGCTCCAGCTCGCCAGGCTTGTCTCCCAGGTACTGAAACCAGAGCTGCCAAGAGGGTGAGGCCCAGGGCAGTTATCAGCCACCAGATCACAGTCTCCGGCAGTGGTGGGAGGTAAGATTGGAGAGGAGCTGCTGGTGTGACTGGCAGGGTCAGCCCTGCAGATCTGCTCCCCATCTTACCCTGCATCACCAGGTCTGGAGGTGGATCTGAGTGGGAGCACAGAAGTGCGGCAGGGGTGTGGGACTGAGGCAGGGCCCCTTGAGCAGAGAAAGAGAGGGAGGGAGAATTTCATCCACCAGCCCCTGCCCGGAAAGGAGGGGAGAGCCACAACCCTGGTGTAGGTGCGGGGCCTTTAATCTCTTTGAAATGGGAGCTTGTGGAGCCCTGGGCATCAGGGGAAGGCAATAATGTGACAGGGATCAAGGAGAGCAGCCTGGCACTGGACCAACGTTCTTAGCCCTGGCTTCCTGCACCTTCAGACCACTATTGTCCCTCCAGAAGAGTGTCAGGCCTAGACAGGTGACAGAGACCATCCACCTGGCACCTTCATTTTATGAAAAGGAAATAAATACAAAGAGACGAAAGGACTTGGTCAAGGTTATAGAAAAACTTGGTGGTGCAGCTAGTCAGGCATCCTCCCTCCCAATCCATAAAAGAGTGGGGGCCTCTAAGGAATTCCCAGCAGCCTCTGTGCTGCTGCAGCCTGGGAGGGATGGTATATGGGGAGCACCCCCTCCAGCTGCTAACAGGCCCTGCCTGCAGCGTGGGGAGGCGGTGCTGGGCACACAGGAACACCCCTGCGGAAATCCTTCTCATTTCTGGAGTAGGGTGCGTTTTTGAGGTAACAACTACACCTTTAAGCTCCTCAGACCAGCCAGACTCCCACCTTGGATATCCTTTTGACTAGAATCCTAGGGCCCACCTGGAAACTAAGGATCAGACAGTGTCTTTCTCATTAAACCTAATAGATGCTCCTGGACCAGAAGGCCTCCCAAGATGTGAGAGCAGCCCTGCACATTCTCATGGCCATGATCTCATGGCCAAGGGATGATATCGTTCTGGGCATATGAAGCTCTTCCATCCAACATGCTGGAAGTCACAACTATTTGTACAACCATTTACAGAGCTGGCAACTCACTATTGTCTCTGAGTCAAGGGGAGCAGCTCCATAGGTGGGAGCCCAAAGAAAAATAAGGCTGCAGGTGAGATTTCGGTTGAATTCCAAGAGAAACTATAAAGCCCCAGCAGGGGACTGGGGTCATCTGGGTGGAGGCTGCTTCTTCTCTATGTTGGATCAAAAAGAGAGATGGGACAGACTCAAGGTTACAAAGCTATATGTGGGGAGGGGGGCAGAATCCCAAATTCAGGGGTGGGGGGAGATGAGACCTGTGGGAAATTTTCAGATCAGGTCTCACCTTGCCCATGGTGGGAGAGATTCAAATGCTAGACAAACATAAGGCATTAACAATTGATTTTTATGCCCTCATTTAAAGAATAGGTGGGTTCCTGAAATGTTGGCCATAAATAGTAATGACCCTTTGTTAATCTCTTACAATATGCCAGAAGTTAAACAGAAGACATTCAGTTCACATACCCTCATTTTACTGATGAGATTGGGCGGGGGGTGGGTCAAGCAGTTCCCTGACAGTTACACAGCTTGTAAGAGGCAGCCTGGCTCCAAAACCTGAGACCCTCCCACTGCACTGTGTTATTCTGCTTTCTGAGGCAGTTTAGGGGGGCTTTGGAGTTAGGCTGCTGGAGTTTAGATCCTGGCTCCACCACTTATCAGTCGTATGACCCTAAAATTCATGGATCTCTGTGCCTCATTTGTAAAGTGGAGGTAACAACACTGCCTACCTATGTTAAGAGTAAAAGAGCTTATGCATAAAAAGCTGCTGGCAGAGTGCCAGGAAAATCACAAGATAGCATCAGTTTTAGCAATTATTGTATTGCTGCACAATATCTGCCAGTCTCTGTAAACCAAACTGTGTTTTCCCCCCAGCTTCCCTCAACAAATCAGAGAGTTGTGGTGAGTTGAAAAACATGGCCCCGTGATACACTATAAATCATACAAAAGATGCAGAAAAGCTTTTCTATAATCATTTACTTAAAGGAACACAGCAATGTCCAGATGAGTTTGAAACAAATCAAAGGCACCTCACTAGGCTAAAGGCACCCCCTCCACGCCGCATTCCCTGCCCAGGGACGATGTGTGGACAACAGCGGGCTTGCTTTTCAGAGGCGGGCTGTAGCCCCTCATAGTGCAGCTGCAGCGGACAGCCCCAGGCTCCCCTTTCTCTGAATCGGACTATTCCAGGTAAACTTTGGCAGGGCCAGACCAAATGATTTCAAGAGCCACGTAGGGCCCGCAGGCCAGACGTTCCCCATTCCTGCTCTAGAGCTAGGACATTCTCTGTCAAAGTTGCAGTTGTATGTTGTGCTGTTCTAGGAGGTGAGCATTTGGCTGTCTCGCAGTTATGTGTTTACATAGCTAAGAGTGTCTGTGATCACCAGGTGTGTCCCTCTGTTTATCTCACATCCTTTGTCACCCTTTTATGCTAATGAGGGCCATGCTGCATAAAGAAGGTGCTCATGCACGTACTCATATGTTTGTCTACCTTTGACTTTGCTTCCCCAACCTGGGTATCCGTTGTTTGAGAGGGACCTCCCTGGCTCTGCCCTGACTCTGCTGTGTCTGGGGTATGGGTGAGGGTGACCTGTCATGGGCCATCCTAAGTTCTTTGTCAGCTCTCATAACTCTTCATATTTGAAGGCACCATCCCACATCAGACATGTTCAAATATACCCTTGGAATGTATCATTTTTACTATAAAACATTTGAATTTGAATAATTACTTCTGAAAATATTTGTCTATCAGCAACTCATTTGATTATGATTAACTGCAATTAATGGGCAATTTCAGACATATTTAGAATTACTAAAAAGCAAAAAAATCTAACCTACAACTTTTTTCAACTACAATGAAATTTTTATGAATTGGAAATCTCACCTATTAAGGAAGTTGGACGATGTCATCCATGGTGTCCAGTGGATAAAAAGGCCCTGCCCCTCCCCACTGGGAACTCTCAGAACTTCCTCCCCAGGGTGTCACTCAGCTCAGGCCAGAGCTCTGTGTGTAAAAGGGGCTGCAGGGACCCACTGGCTGTGGAGATCAGGCCCAATGACCCTGGGATCCAGAATAAAAATTCTGCCACTATGTCGGAAACACAATGCCATTTATTGAAGGTACAGAACAGAGAATTCTTTTCTTGGAGCCAAGAAGGGGCAAGTAGCACTAATGGTAAATCAAAGCCCCAGGGGAAGGTGGGGTCCAGGGGGGTCAGGGGGACTCCTGTCTATAAGGGTGCCAGTGGGTCATCTGGGGCTTTCCCATAAGGCAGTAGGGCATGTGGTTGGGCTGGTGACACCTACGGAGCAGGGATGGTGACAGGGCCAAGCTTTTGACCTTGTGGGGGTAGGTGGTTTTTCAGCCTCTGGGTTGTGAGGAGCCTTCTGTGAAGGTATGGACCCAGGTCAGAAGAGTTGGGAAAGGGTCCCATGGGTTTGTGGAATAGCACACAGAGCTGGGGTGTGAGGGTGGTGAGGGGGGCTGGAGGCCTAGGAGCACTGTAGATGCAGCATTCAGAATTTGTGGTGGGATCACTGGCTCTGGGAAGAGCTTTGTGAGACCCAGACTGACTTGCTGCTGCTGCTGACACCCCCAGCTGACAGCACACAAGCCCCCAGGAGTTGGAGAAGCCCCCGCGCCCTGCGGAGCTCCTGTCTCCCCCAGAGCCCAGGCCCCCACAGCTGACCCCACGACTGGGGCCTCAGCTTCCCAAGCCTCCACGGCCTCCAGCTCCTCCTCCAGCCGCTGCTGTTATGCACCACCTCTGCAAAGAGTATTTGAGGTCAGGGAACCTGTGGGAGGTCTGCCCAGCACGTCCCAATCCCCAGCACAACTCCTGGGAGCCGCCCCTCTCTGTCACCCCCTTACTGCCCACTGAGATTCCGCAGAGGACGGGTAGTTCAGGCCTCAAGTGGGGGAAGGAGGTTGGCCCCTCTGGGACCCAGAGCCACTGGGTTACTGTGGACGCTACTCAACAACTCCTCCCAGCCTGTAGATAGGATGATTTAACACCAGTACCGGCCCACATTATCCCAAGACCTGCGACCCCTCCCCAGATAAAGACCCCAGGACTCGCAGATGCTGCCAGAACTCGCACTCCTCAGACATCCTGGCTGAAAACCAGACCTCAGTGTTAGCCATCTGCACCAGATCCTCCCTTTCCCTAAAGCACCTTGATTAGGTCAACAGCAGTGAAAGCCTTGGTCCCCCAACCCTTTCCTAATCCACCTTGACAATAAGAAACACCTGGACCCTGGTCAGGTGGCTCAGTTGGTTGGAGTGTGGTCCTACAGCAAAAGGTTGCAGGTTCCATTCCTGGTCAGGGCACATACCTAGATTGCGGGCTCCATACCCCATCCGGAGGCAACTGATCAATGTTCCTCTCTCACATAAATGTTTCTTTCTTCCCCTCCCCCTTTCCTCTCTCTCTAAAAAAAAATCAATAAAAATGTATCCTCAGGTGAGGATTAACAAAATAATAATAATAATTTTTTAAAAAGAAGTACGTTGGATGGGTGCTCAAACAATCATGACACACATCCCTCTTTCTATTGGGTAAGGTCGGACTTAAATGATTACCCTTTTCCCCTAACATTCCCCAAGAGGATTCCTGACCCAACCCAGCCTCACCCCACTCTTCAAGATCCTCTTCATTCAACAAATAGTACTTAAACCCACATGGGACAGAACCCTGTACCCAAATGCCAGCCTACAGGAACCCACTCTTCAGAATCCTATAATTAAGCCAATTATAGATAGGTGGCCTAGAAATAATATTTATGCCTATGACTCCTCTTTACAGACATGTTTTACAGCTAAAACATGAGACATGAAGGGTAGGGAAATCCATCCAAGATAAGGTTCTGGTGGGGTCACTATTGCACAGAAAACAATTTTCCTGGATGTCTAACAACTTGAAGCCCTTGAAAGGAGGATTCTGGGCCTGCCAGGGGCTACCACCACCCCCAGCAGCCCTCACATGCACACACACAGTACCTGGCAGCAGGCTCAGGCAGGGGAACCAGAGAGACTCCCACTAACCCACACTCCTTGCCCTCTAGGAGAGTTTGATAGGTGGTGATCTCAATGTCCAGGGCCAGCTTGACGTTCATCAGCACCTCATGCAGAAACCAGGCCAGATCCTCCTTGGCCTGCTGCAAGGCGGCCTTGAGATCCTGAAGCTTGTCATTGGTATCCTTGAGGGCCACTTCCCCACACTGCTCTGCATCAGCAATGGCCGTGTGCTGGTTGGCGTTCTGCATTTGGGGGCCAGGAGTCCAATTCAGAGTCAAGTCCATTCTCTAAGGCCTGCCCTGTGCCTGGTGCTTGCACATGAGTCACCTCGCTTTGGGCAAATGAGGAAATTACAGCCCACAGAGGTCTCCAGCTTAGGCCTCCTCTTAGGTCCTAGCTTGTCAAGGAGTAGGATTAGCAGCATCAGGCCTCAAGGACCTAGCCCAGCTCAGCAAGAGTCACACTTTTCCTATACCTCTCTCCTCTCAAAACCTCCCTCCTTGACTACTCCCCTAATTTGGTCTTTACACAGTCAGCTTCTTTCCCCCAGCCTCTCTAATCATGTCTGTACTCAGTATTTCTGGCCCATCACCCTTCAGTCTCCAGGGAGGCAGGCAAAACCTGGGTCCACATGACAACTTTGTTCAGCCCAGAACTGCACCAGTCAGTCAGCGTGCATGAGTCTGGGGCATGATTTCACTGTGCTAGGTGCCAAGCCCCGAGGTTTATGCTGCCACGTGCTCTTCCTCCTCCTTCTCACCTGCTTCTTGGCATCCTCAGTCTTGGCCCGCAGCCTCTGGACCATCCTGGGGAGCTCCACGATCTCACTCTTGGTGCTCTCCAGGTCATCCCTGTGTCTGCTGGCCATGGTCTGCAGCTCTCTCAACTGTGTCCAGGAAAGAGTCACATTTTCAGAAAGCCAGCAGGGGCTCCCACCCCACCCCTAGGTGTGTCAACCAAAACTGTCTGCACACATTGCCAATACCTCTGGTGGCTTCGAGAGGGGTGGGGGTGGGGGTGTCATACCACCCCCTTCTATGAGAAGCAGTGGGTTAGAGCAGTCAGAGCTCTGATTAAAAAGGGAGATGTCTGTAAGACCCAACCAGTGAGAAGGCGAGGGAACTGCCATAATAGGGATGAAGAGAGTGCCTCACAGGCAGGGCCTGCCTCCTGGATGGCCTGCCCAGGTAGGTTGATGGGGGCGACAAGCTTCTCTAAAGCTGCATGATGGTGTCACCCACCTTGCTCTGGTACAGGGTCTCGGCCTCAGCCTTGCTCCTCCGGGCGATTTCCTCATATTGGGCGCGGACCTCGGCCATGATGCTGTCCAGGTCCAGGTAGCAGTTGTCCATGGACAGCATTACGGATATGTGGCTGGTGTCTGACTGCATCTGGCATAGTTCCTGCAGAGCCAAGCAGACGTGCCCACTCCTGAGCAGACCCCACACTGGGGCTCCTCAGAAAACAGGGGGCCACCAGCTTGGGAGAGAGGGCTGGATACTGACTGAGGGACAAATGGGAATGTTTCACTTTTGTTAGGACAGACATGACTCAGACTCCTACTGGCGAACCTCTGAACGCCTTCTCCTCCGGGAGACAGAAGGCAAGTGGTCATGAGGCTTGGAGATGAGGCTCAGACCTAGGGCATCATAGAGGACCTTCAGGAAGCTGATCTCATCTGTCACACTCTCCACCTTGGCCTCCAGTTCCACTTTGGTCATGTAGGTAGCGTCACCGTGCTTGGAGAGAATTCAGTCACTGAGCCTTCTTACCTGTGGGCTCAGACCAGTCCTGGGCACTAAAGGAAGGAGCAGGAGGAAGGGGCCACAGGGGCCACCCCAGCAGCTCCCACTCAGGGAAATGAGGCGCCCATCCAGACACAGGAATATATGTCCTGACGTTACTACACCGGCTATTTTGCAGGCTGGGCTGGGAGAATACCCATCAGAGAAGAGCAAAAGAGGCTCGGAAGGCAAGAGGAAGAACATGGGCTGGGGCCATTGCACTGAACCTAGGCAAGGAGAATTTTTGAGGAGGGTTTGAGGGAGAATCTAAATTCGCAACCCTCAAAGGCCTTCTTTAATAGCTCCTAGAAGCGCACTCTTGAGAAAAAAGAATCCTTTTTCTTTGTCCACTTTCTAATCACAACTCAAGGCCTCATCAGATTCACAAACCCCACATGCCTATGAGGAAGGAACATGGCAAAGGCCGGTGGGCCCTTTATACCCCCCTCCAAAGATTCTCCAGGTCCTGCCCCTGCCTAGCCCACCCAGGGAGTTCTCTCCCAACCTGGGTCCTCACCCACATGGCCTAAAGAAGACTCTCAAATTAGCAAGACTAAAATGCCACCTCCCCTCAGCCTTTAAACCACTCTGTTTAGCAGGACTTTGGGGTGGGAGGTGGGGGAAGGGACCCTTCACCTTCCTGAAGACCACAGAGTTGTTTTCTGCAGCCGTGCACTTGTTGGTCTTCTCTTCGTACTTGTGAGAAAAGAGTACTTTCTGATCTGCCTTCTCTGAAATGTCCTCATGGCCCCAGAGCACTTCCCATAAGTAACATAGACTCAGGGCTTCTTGTCCTGCCAGGTCAGCTCAAGGCCTGAATCACTGCAATGTATCTTCTGGGTTCAAGTGAGACCCAGTTCATTCAACAGACTTTACTGAGCACATACTATGTGCCAGGTGCCACACAACGGTGATGATAATTAATGGGAGTAGAAGACCCTTCCTGGTGTAGAAGATCCTATTCTGATTAATCCTGGAAGGCTTCCTGGAGAAATTTGGATTTTTTTATAAACTATTTATGTGACCAAATGGAGATGGCTGAGGTACCAAGAGCTCTTGGGGAGAAGTGCCTGGTGCTGACTCTGTGTACAGCAAGAACAGTATCTCTGTGAGCTCTCAGTAGATACTGAATTAATGAAAACAATAATGGGTCAATAAGAATGTGCCAGATCTTGCTCCATGATCCTGCTTACATTAATTCATTCAATCCTTATTACAGCCAGTAGGGTAAATTCTATCACTGCCTCCATTTTACATATGAGGAGATTGAAGCACAAAGAAGCCGAAGCACTTGTCCAAGATCACAGAGCTTGTAAGTGACAGAATGGGGTTAAAAGTACAAGCCCTCAGACTCCAGAGCCTGTACTCTTAACCATGGAGCAGGTTGCTTCTCGTTTAGAAGCCTATCGACAGGGGAGATAGAATTCACATTTAGAATGGAACTTGGAGATGACCTAGTCCAAGAAGGCTAGAGAGGCTTATCCAAGTCTATAAGGCTCATGAATGAGTTTCAGGATGTCTTGGAAGTCCCCCAAAATTATATGTATGTACCCTTTCATTAAATTCCCAAAAGAGTTCCTGCTCTAAACAAGCCATGAGCCACTGTATTCAAGACTGTGATATTGAAAGTCAAGTGATGAGGGTGGGAGGATAGGGGAGTATAAACTCCTACAAGTTTGCAGCCATCTGGAGCAGAGCTAAACTGGAGCCCAGGACTCCTGTCATCTGCCTCTTCCTACCCTCCAGTCCTCCCAGCCCCACCCCGGGGACTGGATGGCATGCACTTCTTCAAGTCCTCTACCAGCTCCTCCGTGCTCCTCAGCTCCTCCTGTAGCTTGTTCTTCTCAATGTGCAGCCCACTCAGGAAGTCCTTGAGACTGCTGATGTAGTTCTCAAAAAAAGGCTCCAGGTTGTGGTTGCTGGTGTGAGAACTGGAGCCCTGCTCCTGCAGGAGGCCACACCTAGCCACCAGGTCCTGGTTCTGCTCTTCCAAAAACCTCACCTACTGCCCAAGGAGAAAAGGGCTTTAACCATGTGGCTCATGACACCTCCAGAGATAAAGCCCCGATCTCTCCTGCAGACCTGCACTTTGCATGCTGCCATAGTTTCATGTTAACCCCATGTGGATGTCAGTGTTGATGTAATACAGGGAGGTAGAGCCCTACTATGTGGATAAGGAAACTGAAGCCCAGAGATGCCCAAGGCCACACAACAACTTAGTAGCGAAATAGAACTTGGGTTTCCTGATACCTAGGCTCAGTGCTCTTCCCACTGTTATCATTCATTCATTTATTCCTTAATCATTCAGTAGTCAACAAATAGCAGATGATTCTAACATCCATCAGAAGAGGAAAAGCAAAGCGACCCAGTTAGGCTAGACTTTCTCACCGTCCAGCTATCCCAAGACAGGCTTCCCTTGTCAATGAAGGAGGAAAACTTGTTATTGAGGGTTTTGATCTGCTCCCATCCTGGGCCTTGACTTACCCAGCCTGGGGCTCGATCTCCACATTGAAGGGCTTTAGGAGGTTCTGGTTGACAGTCACTTCCTGGATTTCCCCAGGGAAGCCACTAGGGCCACCAAAGGCACCAGGGTTACCAAAGCCTCCAGCTCCTCTGAAGGCCCCAGCTCTTCCACTGAAGCCCTCACCCAAGCCTCTTCTGCCACCTCCAAAACCACTGCCTCCTAAACATCCTCCACTAGCCCCCCCCACCCCACAACCTGCAAGCCCAGGTGCTGCCTCCAGCCATGCTAATGGAGATCTTGTCCCCCCACCCCTAGGTTATAGAGGCTCCTCCTGTGGAAGCCTCCTCCCATCAGGGCACAGGCATCAGACCCACTGCCACCCCAGCCTGAGCAGAAGGTCGAGGAGAACTTGCTGGAGCTGACCCGGCTTTGGCCCAACACCACGGCTGAGTGGCCACTGAAGCCCTGGTGGCGGCCCCGCTGGAAGACCTGCAGGGTTGTTGGCTGTAGCTGGCCTGCAACTCATGGTGGACAGCAAGGTATTCCAAAAGAAGGGTGGACTCAGACGGCTGGAGGAAACTCAGAGAACTTCTGAGGTTCTGGGACAGGGAGTTGATGGTGCCAGCCAAATAATTGAGGTATTATCAGCTTTGGTTTGCCTCGCAGCAAGAGGTTGAGTACCAAACTCGCAACGCACCTTGGTAATCACCCCAAAGTTCCAAACTGCTTTGCTTTCCCAGGGTTACTCCCCTGAAATAAGCTTAAGTTGAGAGAGGGGTCAGCCTGCAGGGCTGAACACAGCCCCTAATCCCTGAGATTGACAGGTCAGCGTTTCTCTACCTCTTCTGTGTCTCCACAGCCACTCTGCCAGCCCATCCAGCCTAGGGAGATTATGAGATGGGTGTGGAGCCCCAGTGAGGACGTTTGGGGAGAAGGAAGAAGGGGACAAGCTGAGAAGCAGAAGGATTTGCAGAAGTTAGAGAAGGTGCAGCAGCTGCCTCTGGGGGCCTTGCCCCCCAGGGAGGAGCAGGTGCATATCTGAAACACACAGTGCCTTCTTCCGCATGAAGCTCTGTATGTCACAAATGGGCCCTTCTGGGTACCTGCCCCATTCCCCCATGGCCCTCATTTTTGCCCAAAGCATCTCACTAATCTGACAAACCAAGATAGAGCAATTTGGTCCAAATAGTGGCGCACACTGAGTTAGGAGACCCAGGTCCTGTCCCTGAGGCTTCTTGCTGCTCAGCCTCCTCTGGGCTTCAGACTTGAGCTGGGGGTTGCATTGGAAATTACTGAATCCCAGAGTTCAGAGTAGCTATGGAGGTGGGAGAATGGAGACCAGTGGGCAGTGTCCTAGTCTCGCTGCCACCATCTCAGCCTGCTGACATGCTGCTGAGTATAGAGCCAGTCTGAGAAAGTGGACAAGGGTAGTCTGGTGGCTTGAGGTTGGGGGATGAGGGCTTTGACAATACATAAAGCCACTATCTGCAGACATGTGAGGCTGATCTTGACTCCAAAATCCAAATAGTGCTTTGGGTTCCAAGTGTAGCCAATGCCTTCATAAAAAGAGCAAACATTTAATCATATCTGACATTTGTGGAGTGTCAACTTTTTTAAACCCTTTCATTTCTCTGCGCCAATAAACAAATGAGCAAACACACTGCACACAGACACACACCCTCTTGTGACTCATAGACAAAATACTTCACGAAACCCATGACCTCAAATGAAAATGACAAAAGCATTAAGCATGAACTGGGTATAAAAACTAATGCAGCCAGAAGGAAGATGCTGTCCCAACCTACCCAATGACTCTGCTTTTTGCCAAGAGGCATGAAAACTAGAGAGTGTTCGGAGAACTCAGACAGGAGTGCTCAGCCCTTGTTTCCCCTAAGACTTCATTCCCTCCAACGGTTACAACGTGGACCACTATCCATTCAGTCATCTCTCCAAACATCCATTCATTCTCTCAGCAATCATTTGTTAGGCACCAACTTGTGTCAGGCACCAGGCTACCCAAAAGAAACACAATGATGCATGAGACAAGGTCCATGATCTAGAGAAGCTCACAGTTATTTGAAGGAGTCAGTCATGTAAACAACTTCTTACTTCACATTCGAGTGAGTGGTTTTGATAGCAGATCAAAAAAGTACCATGGGCATAAGAGGAAGAAAAGCTATGGAAGGCATCATAAAGGAGATAATTTTGAGTGGGGTACTGAGAGATGAATAGGAGTGGACCCAATGGGTGGAGAAAGGCACTCATGGTAGAAAGGAAAACTCTCCAAATATGGGAGAGGGGGGATGTTTGTGAGAGATGCCGCATGCTTGCAGAATAAGGGGCAGGGAAGAAGAGGACAGGTGATGAGAAAGGAGCTGAAGGTATAGGTGGAAACTGATCACGATGTTCTCTCTGTGCTGCGCTGCAGCACTGGGACTCGATGCTGACTGAACATCAGGGCCACAGGGCAGCGTTTTTTTTTAATTGTTGTATTATTATTTGTTAATTATTGTATTATTTTTTATTGTTGACACTATTACTGACGTCCCCTATTCTCCCCCCCTTTACCTACCTCCACCCAGCCCCCACCTCTTCTCCCTCTGGCCTTTCACACATTGCTATCTGTGTCCACAGACTATGCATAAGTGTTCCTTCGCTAATCTCTTCACTTTCTTTCATCCAGTCCCCCCATCCCCGTCCCGTCTGACCTCTGTCAGTCTGTTCCATGCTTCCATGGATCTACTTTGTTCATCAGTTGATTTTATCATTAGATTCCACATATAAGTGAGGTCATATTTGTCTTTCTGTCCGGCTTATTCCACTTAGCATAATAATCTCCAGGTCCCTCCATGCTGTCACAAAAGGTAAGAGTGCCTTCTTTTTTATAGCCACATAGCATTCCATTATGTAAATGTCCCACGGCTTTTTTATCCACTCCTCTACTGACGGGCACTTGGGCTGTTTCCAGGTCTTGGCTGTTGTAAATAACACTGCTATGAACACAGGGGTGCATATATTCTTTCTGATTAGTGTTTCAGTATTCTTAGGATATGTTCCCACAAGAGGGATAACTGGGTCAAATGGCAGTTCCATTTTTAATTTTTTGAGGAAATTCCATATCCTCAAGCCCCACTCCTGACCTCCTAAATCAGAATCTTAGGGAATGTGGCCCAGGCATCTATTTTTTTAAAGCTACAGTTTGCTTTAATTCAGAAAGACTAATTCCTATAATGTAACTAACTTTATTAAAAGAGGAAAATTCTACATTTTTGTGAAAGGTTGGGGGAACAATAAAAGAAAGTCACCTGTCCTGTCTTCTTCAAAGCAGGTGTAGAGTTTTATCTTGTCCCAGAGGCTGGGTAGCACTCAGCCTCCAGATGCAGGCACCAATGCTGTTGACTGTGAAGCGCCACCAGGGCAATTAAAGAGGCCAGGAGCTTTGAAATACATCACTGAGAACAAGAAAAGGCAAACCACATCTGGGGCAAAATATTTGCAGTGCATATGTCTGGTGGATCTCAGAAACATCGTTGTGAGGGAAAGAAGCTGGACACAAAAAGAATATATTCTGCATGATTTCATTTACATGAAATTCTAGAAGAGGTGAAAGTGACAGGAAGCAAGCCCCCACCTGGGCCTCAGGGTTGGTGGGTGACTGACGACAAAGAGGCATGGGAGAGCATTTTGGAAGATATCCTATATTTTGAAATTGGTTATAATTAATTACATGGGTATATACATTTGTCAGAACTCATTGAAATGTTCTCCAAAAATGAGTGTATTGTTCTTGTATGCAAATTATACCTCAATGAAGTTGATTTTAAAAAGGGGACAGGAAGAAGAGGCAGAATATTAACATTAAAAATAACAAGAGCTCTGAGCTGCTCTTTGGAATAGCTGTATTTATTTGTCCTTATATATACCAAACCATAAGTCCCTTATGGGGACAGCCATGTTATATTCATCTCTGTAGCCAGCAAGCTAATGGTACATGGACTGAATTGGTGCCTAATAAAATTTAAATAAATGGATGAACAGAATGGAAGTAAGCAAGCTCACCCAGGAAAAACATGTAGCATGAAAGGAACAATAGACCAAAGAAGGAACTCAGGGGAACATCAATGCCTAAACAGTTTTCACTCTACTTTTAATTATAGACTATATCAAGCATACAGAAAGTAATATAGATAGCAAGCACCTATGTGCTCACCACCAAGGTTAACCAACCAGCTGGCCATCTCTCTTTGAATAATCATAGTGTTATAGAAGCCCCAATTTAAGATCCATGTGGGGAAAAAACCATACACAAAAGTCAGCTGCAGATCTGAATGTGAAAGGTAAACAGTAAATCTTTTAGAAAGACATCAGAGCCTGGCCGGGTGTGGCTCAGCCATTGAGCGTCTGCCTAGGATCCAGGAGATCAGGGTTCGATTCCCGGTCAGGGCACATGCCCGGGTTGCGGGCTGCAGCCATCAATGACTCTCTCATCATTGATGTTTCTATCTCTCTCCCTCTCCCTTCTTCTCTCTGAAATCAATAAAGATATATTTTTTAAAAAATAAAAATAAAAAAATAAAAAATAAAAATAAATAAAAAATAAAAAAGACATCAGAGAGTATCTTCATAACTTTAGAGTATAGAGCAGAGTATAGGACACAAAAAACACCACATGAAAGAAAAAGAATCTGATTAATCTGGTTAAGTAAAATTAAGTAACTCTATTAAAAAGCTCCATTAAAGAGCAAAAAGGCAACCCACAGAGTGGGAGAAAATATTCATATACCTGCAAAGAACTCATATCTATATAACACATAAAAACACCTATAAATTAGCAAGAAAAAGACAGACAACCCACCAAATAGAAAAATGGACATAAGACAGGCACAAAAGAGGATATTAAAATGGCCACTAAACATATGAAAGGAGCTCAACATCATTAGCCACTATGGAACATGCAAATTAAAACCACAAAGATATACAATAATACCCCCTCCAAAAAGGCTAATATGCAAAAGAAAGAAAATACCAAGTGCTGACAAGAACATGGAGCAACCAGAACTCTCCTACACTGCTAGGATGCCTACCTTGGCAATAAAAGAAGCAAACTATTCACTCAGACCACTGGGATGAATCTCAAGGCATTGTGCTGAGTGAAAGAAGTCAATCTCAAAAGGTTATCTGCTGTGAGATTCATTTATATGGAATTCTCAAAAAGAGAAAACTATAGTGCAAGAGAACAGATTAGTGGTTGCCTGCTGTTAGAGATGGAGTGTGTGACTATAAAAGAATAACACAGGGAGTTTTAAGGAGTGAGGGAACTAACTTTTCTATACCCTGATTGTGGTGGTGGTCTCACAAATCTATACATGTATAATTGTGTTAAAATTTATAAAATTGTACACTCAAAAAGTCCATTTTTAATGTATAATCATAAAAAATGTAAACAAAAGAAGGAGGGACATTTTGAGCAATATCACATGGGAGGGAGGAGACACTAACTTTACAAGACAAATTACCAGGTTTTTTTCACCAAATAAATTATAAGGAACAAAAAAGAAGGATGAACCAACTGTAATGCATGAATATTGTTTAGGCCCTGATTCAAATGAGTGATTTTAATGAAAACACTCATGAGACATTATGGGAAATGTGAACTGGGATTGGATATTTGATCTCATTTCTAGCCTTGAGAGTCTGAGTCCTCAGAAATCAATTAACAGTGGTGACCCTAGAAATAATGATGGTAATATTTCCCATGTACTGAATACTTATCTTGTTCTAGGAGCTGTGCCAAGCTCTAGCATGCATTATATCATTTAATCAGTTCATTAGTCAACAAGTGCCATGGAGTGCACATTTCCTGTCCAGTATTATGTAACATACAAATAATATGTGATAGTCCCTCTCTTTAAAGAATTTAAAATCTGAGTGCTAATCAAATTTGCATACATGTATTATAACACCTGCATGAATATCTTTTTTTTTATAAAGTGCTTTTTGTAGAGTACATTTTTAATGTATTCCTTAGAACATCCTCAAGAGGCAGATATTATTTTTATTACCACATTAATGAATACTAACAGCTAATATTTTAAATTACTCTCTTTCTTTGCGAGTGCCCAGTTTACATTGCTGCCAGGCATGAACTTAGCCTCAATCAAAAGAATACTAGCTTTTTAATTTTCTTTATTTTTATATCCCTCTCATCCCAATACAGTAGTTAACTTAAAAATAATAATCCAAGAGAGAAACAAGATGGCGGCTGCACCCGCCGCCTCCGGCAACCACATCAAAATTACAACTAAAATACAGAACCACCATCACTCAGAGCCTCCTGAGATCTGGCTGCACAGAAGCCCTACGACCAGGGAACTGAAGGAGCACTGACACAGGCAGGAGGAGCGGAGATGCGGGCGGATCGGGGCTGAATTGGAGACACGCCGCAGGCCCACACCCGGTGCCGGGGTTTAAACCCGGGAGGGAATCTCAGCGGTGGGGTTTCCCAGAGGAGCGAGGGGTCCCAGCCCCACAGCAGGCCCCCAGCCCAGGGCTCCAGGCCGCGAAGAGACGTCCCCACAACTCTGGGCTGTGAAACCAGCGGGACTGTCTCTGAGGGTCACGGAGGCTGCGGGAGCCCCAGCAGCTCCTCTAAAGGGCCCGGCACGGACTCACTCGGACGCTCCCTCTGAGCCCAGCG